TTTGAGTTAACAGAAACCAATCCCTCCATTGACAGGAGATGGTAGACGATGCTTTTATTTGAATGAGAGGAATCTAGAGACTAAAGAAGACAATAGGGTTATTCTTGCATCTAGACAATGCCTCTTCTCACACAACCCATTATTCCAAGTGCATACAAACATTAAAAACAGGTGTTTTCTAAGTACACAGATATTTCTTGCAGAATTTTTATTTATTAACACTGTATTTGCCCTGAATCCAATCTCAATCATCAGAGAGAGACTGAGTTAATCCCTGTGTGTCACCGCAGTGGAGTTCTGGGCAGCTGTGGGTGTGAGGAGGACGTTCTCTTGCTGGCTGACAAGACATAACTCCAGGATATTGAGTTATGGGTAGGTGAGAAAAAGAAAGATATTTAGAATATCATGTGAAATTAGCTCCACGCTAATAAGAACCAGAGTAAAATGACACTGGTGTTTCTGTGTGTGCATGCCCATATTTTTATATTTATAAAATTGGAGGAATTGGTGCAGACACAGTTGCATGAGGGATTTCTGCTGTTCTCATTGCAGTGGAGCCAAGCTTGTTCCTCTTCTGCTCCATCACACAGGTTGAATTAACCAAAGCAATGGTGTTGGAGAAGCTTTGTCTCTTGCTTGTCGGCTGGGAGTTTGTGATACAGTATTATACACTGCTGAAACAGGCCCCAGACAAGCTATATAGATTTTATGGAAAGAACTCTTCCTATGTCCATGGAGGGTTGGATTCAAATGGAAATCCAGCAGATGCAGTCTACGGGCAGAAAGAAATCCATGGGAAAGTGATGTCACAAAACTTTACCAACTGCCGCACCAAGATTCGACATGTTGATGCTCATGTAACTTTGAATGACAGTGTGGTGGTCCAAGTGATAGGGGTTCTCTCTAATAACCATCAGGCTTTGAGGACATTCATGAAGACATTTGTCCTTGCTCCTGAGGGCTCTGTTGCAAGTAAGTTCTATGTTCACAATGATATCTTCAGATACCAAGATGAGGTCTTTGGTGGCCTTGTCACTGAGCCTCAGGAGGAATCTGAAGAAAAAGTAGAGGAATGTGAAGAAAGACAGTAGACATCTGAGGTGGTTCCTGATGATTCTGGAACTTTCTACGATCAGACGGTTGTCAGTAATGACATGGAAGAACATTTAGAGGAGCCAGTTGTCAAACCAGAGCCTGATCCTGAACCAGAACCAGAGCAAGAACCTGTATCTAAAACCCAAGAGGACAAGTCTGAGCCAGTGTTAGAAGCAACTGCTCCTGAGGATACGCAGAAGAGTTCTTCCCCAGCACCTGCAGGGACAGCTCAGACGGTCCAGGAAGACTTGAGGACCTTTTCCTGGGCATCTGTGACCCATAAGAACCTTCCACCCAGTGCAGCTATTCTAGTTCCTGGAATACCACCTCATGTGGTTAAAGTACCAGCTTCACAGTGTCATCTACAGTCTAAGCCTGAATCTCAGACTCCACCACAAGAGACCTCAAAGGGATCAAGGAATGTGAGAACAATGGATAAATATTCCTCCCCAGAGAGGCCAGAGACCAATTCATGAGGCTGGTGAGCAAGGAAATGTTGAGCCCAGAAGAACTGTGAGACACCCTGACAGTGAGCAACTCTTCATTGGCAATCTGCCTCATGAGGTGGACAAATTAGAGCTTAAAGATTTCTTTCAAAATTATGGGAATGTGGTGGAGCTGCTCATCAACCGTGGTGGGAAATTACCCAATTTTGGTTTTGTTGTGTTTGATGATTCTGAGCCTGTTCAGAAGGTCCATCATGTTCAGAGGTGAGGTCCGTCTGTATGTGGAAGAGAAGAAGACTTAAGGTGCCAGGGAAGGGGGGCATCAAGATAACCCCTTTGGGGACCTGAAGGCCCTCAAGGTGGGCTGGGTGGAGGCATGAGAGGCCCTCCCCATGGAGGCATGGTGCAGAAACCAGGATTTGGAGTGGGAAGGGGGATTGCTCTAAGGTAGTAAATTGTTCTTCACTGATCTTCATGCAGCAATTCACACCCTAACTCCTGCAGAATGGTGACTTTCTTCAACCAGCCTTTGCTATCTTGGGAGCGTGATTCTAGTCAGTTATAAACTGCTTATGTTTGTACAATTTTACATCTTCTTGTGTTAATGGTGTGTGCTCCTTCCCCAACCCTTCCCTCTCCTGATCTTGAGTCCTTAAGTTCCAATTTTGTGGAATGGTATTTTAGGAGTAATGAATTTTTAAAGAAGAAAAATAGACTGAATTTCCTTGCTTGCTTTACATACAGATTGGATTTTTTTTTAACAGTCATTTCCCCAAATGAATATGTCTCACTTATCACTGACATTGGTATGCTTCATTTACTGGAATACTTCTTACTTATTTTCTACATGTTTCAAAAGCCTGTGAGAAATACAGGATTTGATAAACATTTTAAAGGCAGAAAAGCCCAAATTGTTTCCTCTACTATGAGAGTCATAACTACCTTCTGGTGGGGAGAAATTGCCATTGGAAAATTTGACAAATTTGATTCTCACTGGTGTGGTTAAAAAGTGAATAAAAAGGGTTAATAGAGTTTTTCTTTTGATATTTGATCACAAAACAATCCTCAAACCTGTTTTTACATTTAAAATTTAAATTGTGAGGCTCGGTGAGCACAGTGGTTGTGAT